GTGGGTTGTCCTCTCCCCGTTCGGGACGGGTCCCCGCGGGTATCGGGTTTGTCGGGTTTTTTTGCCATCCCTACGAAGAAATGAAGTTCTACGAGGACACTAAGACACGAAATAAAAAATATTTTATATTTCTCCATATTATATAATATCTTATTATTTGGATAAACTTAAGTTTATTTATGTTTGTTTAAATTGTACTTTTCAATTATGTCTTGTATAGTTTCTTAAGTCTAACAAGCCAAGCAATTGATTAGTATTATCATAGAAATATTTTATTTCTTTTAATTTTAACTTGTATTTCATTTTTCATTTTTTATGTCGATTTGATGGCCGGAGTGAAGAAATCAAAGGGACGAAAAGGAAATTCACCTATGTTTTAGTATTATTATTTACTTTTTGATAATATGTATAAATTGTGAATGAATTTTATTAGACAACTTGTTAGTTCTAATTTACAATATGGACTATGTTTGTTATTGTAAGAAATCTATTTTTTGTTAGATTAATGTTACATCGTTTATAACTTAGAAATTTTTTAGTATGCTTTAGTTCGATTTTGGTTCGATTCCATAATTAAAGTTGGACAAGACATTTCCATTTACCCCGTAATTCTTGATAAAAAAAAAAAAAGAATGATTGATAAAATCATTGATCTTGTTTTGCTCTAGCGTGTAGAACTAGAATTGAATGGGTCCATATCCTTCACACCCTTCACTGCATTAATGCCAAGTGTTTGGCAACCTCAATTTTTGTTACACTTCATTGTTGACTTTTGAACACGACTGACCCCACCCCCGATACCAACCCATCTTTTGATATCTAGGGTTACTAGTGCTAAATATTAATTTAGTGGTCAAATGTGACAAATCTATAATCTATAATATATTAAATATCACATAACGTGATAATCATTTTTTGGACGATTTTAATTCTACTACAATTTAATTATTTAATAATACCTTACTTTTTCATTTTTTAATATGGAATAAATATTACAAAATTATTACCATGCATGAATTTCGTGTTATTAATTCTTAATTAATTAACATTAACATAGACTCAATGAATCTTGATCTACATGAATTTAGGGTTATTATAAATGAATTTATTTATATTCGTGTATCTAGAAATTTTAATTGGGGATTAAATTTATGTACTAGTAATTAATTCTAATGTATCAAATGTAATATAAAAAGATTGCTCATTTGTAATATTTTATCATTACAAAAAATTTGAATCATAAAAGTTGAATTTTGAGAGTCCAATTTTCTTATCTTAAATTTCTATTCTAAATTTTATTTTCTTTAGTTCGTTTAAAACTTATCAAATCCTCCCAACAAATTGGTATCAAATATTACTTTTACAACACTTATAAAATATTTTAGAATAACGTACAATGCATGTTTAACTTTGACTACTATCTATAAATAAAGCAACTTATAAATTTTTGAGTAAACTCAAATTACNTTGGTATCAAATATTATTTTTATAACACTTATAAAATATTTCATAATAACGTGCAATACACGTTTAACTCTTACTAGTATATTAAATATCACATCAAGTGATAATAATTTGTTGGACGATTCTAATCCTACTACAATTCAATTAATTCAATAATATTTTAATTTTCATTTTTCAATATGTAATAAATATTACAAAAAAAATTGTGTTATTAATTTTCACTTAATTAATACTGATATTAATCTAGGCTCAATGAATATTGATCTATATAAATCAAGAGTTATTATAGATGAATTTAATTATATTCATGTATTCATAAATTTTAATGTGAGTTTAAATTCATGTGTTAACAATTAATTCTTAGTTACTAAATATAATAATATAAAAAGGTTACTCATTTATAGTATTTTATTATCACAAAAAAAAATTGAATAATATAAGTTGAGTTTTGAGAGTACAATTTTCTTTTCTTAAATTTGTATCCTAAATTTTATTTTCATTAATTCGTTTAAAACTCATCAAATTTTTTCAACAAATTGATATCAAATACTACTTTTATAGTACTTATAAAGTATTTTCAGAATATCGTACAACTCTAACTAGTTCAATTAAAAGTAAAACTAAGCAATTCATTTAATTATTCATTTCATTTATTATCATTTAGTGCAATATACACTGACGTTGTAACACCAACAATATTAGATTACATTATTTTCTATTTTGGGTTAAAAGTTGCTTCCATCTCACTCCATGACACTTCGAGAGGTAAAAAAGAAAAACATGGTAAGTGAACAAATACCATTCTATTTCTAAAATAGCACCAACAAAGCTAGGAAGGGCTAAAATAAATAAATAAAAAAAATTCTACTGAACTGATAGATGCTCAAGAAATGCATTCCTCTAGGTCATTCTTCCAAGTGGACCAATCCCAAGAACCACCCATGGCCAAGTGGTGCCTCGATTCGGCCTCTGGCCGTCCGTCCTTTCTCATCTGCATTTAGCAAAAAATTAAAAAAATATTCTTGATGTACATAGTATATGTACATAGGAGTGTCTATACCCCTCACATAGGGTGTAACCCATAAAAATGTGGACATCACCCCATGTGAGGGGTATTGACACTCCTATGTACATATATTATGTACACCAAGCACATCCTAAAATTAAATGGGCTTGGCGACAGCCCTACCCCCTTCCTACAACCCTGTGAAATAGTATAAAAAATGTGCACATTAGATCGTCACATCAAAATATCTCTCGTCTTTTGACCACTCCTCATCTTCGCTCTGACCCCAAATCACCCTATTTTTTCTGGTTAAAAGTGGGCTCCCTCCTTACTCCATGACACCTTGAGAGGGTAAGAAAGATTCTATATTTACATGCGTGCATCTTAGATCGTCCGTCAAAATATTTCTCCCAGTTCGGACCCTATCTCATCTTAGGCTAAAAGTAGACCCCCACAACCTCATCTAGCCCCTATCTCCACCATCCTCCCCTTATTCATTTTTTGGCTTAAAGGGGACCCCAACAAACCTCATCCTTATTCCTTGGCATGACAGAACCATCTAAGAACAACAAACCTTTTTCTTCATTCTTTCTTTCTTAAAAATTTGTAGAAAAACAGAGGAATGCACAAAATTAAAAAAAAAAAGATGTTTTTTTGGACAGACATATATTATGAAAAATCTAAGATTTATAAAAAAAACTTGCCATTATTGATTTCTTTGACCATTATTACTTGATTGAAACAACTACTACAATGATAACAAATTATTATTACAACCTCTACCCCTTCTCTCTCTCTCTCTCTCTCTTTTAAGCGTCTCTCCTCTGGTGCCTCTTTCTCTCTTTCTCACGACCATTCTTCTCATGTTTTCAGGTCCCGTTCTTTCTCTCTCTATAAAAAAGCATAAATATAAACAAATACAGCATTTTGTCTATATTTTTATGTTATACCTTGAATACACAAGGAAAAGCACAGTTGAATCAGTTTCTTGAATTTTATTGTGATCATATGAGGGGTTCTTTAATTTGAAGCCCAGGAAAAAGATACCTGGGCAAAGATGGTTCTTGATGGCTGTTCATATTGATCATAAATACACATCAATTCTCACACATATAAACTATATTGCGATACAAAATCAAGGGTTTCTGAATTTTTGAAAATTATAAATATGGATTCTTGATTGTTATATTTATATCACTGTGTTTATACAAGCATTTTAGATCTATTCTTGAATATGTCGCTTAATGTGGTTTCTGTTTTTATTATTTTCTGTTATGGGCAGGTTGAATTAATTCATAATTGGGAATGAAGCTATTTCAGATGCCGTGATCTTGGTTTTTTCTTGATTTTGTTCACATCGTATGCCATAATAAGTGTTTTCCCATCACGGGTTTTGTGAGATTCGTTTTATTAATATAGAGAAAAATACTGACCTTTTCGTTTGATTTGAGAGAGTCAAAATTGAAACAATTAAGGGATTAAAAATAAAGAAGCCTGATAAAGAGATAATATGGGGTATCTGAACTCAGTCCTGTCCCAATCAAGCCAAGTCCATGCTGATGATGCCCCAGTTAGCGGCGGTGGCCTCAGGTGATCTGCTTCTCCCCCTTATTTTGCTGCAGGAATATATACATATGTACATGTTTATATATATTGTTATTATTTGTGTTCTTATTTGGTGCAGAATAAATTAATTTGCCTAGTCTACAATGCATATGTGATTGTATTGTGTTTTCCATTTAATTATGTTGCTTTTTTGTAATTTATTGTTTAATCTGAATTAGCTGCTTCTGATGAATCAAAAATTGCCTTTGGTTTAGTCCAATTAATGAGCTAACATATCATTGAAGTGCCCATTTGTGATTAATGAGGAAGCAAACGTTGAAATCACAAGAAATTATTGATATTAATGCCGTATCCTGTTTGTCAATATTATCATTGAATTGGTTATCTACTCTTTTTGGGGCATTATTGTGATAATTAATAATCTGTATGTGTTCCAAAATTTTGCGTGATGGAAAAATCTCTGGTTTATAGCGGGTTGATTATGAGTTGTGATTGGTCACCAATTTGAAATATGTTGTGCAATTATATGATTGGTAGTTTAAGAAATTTTTTTTGCGTTCTTGTTGTTTTTGACATTGTTTATTAAGAGAGTGTATATATCATCAATCCCGTGCTGTTGGATGCAATTTGCGTTTACTTTCTATACAATCTTCATTGGCGTGGTTATTATCGGTCAAATCTCTACCTGTCGTGTCTTTCATGCCATTTCATCTCCTGTTGTATAGTGGATGTAGAACCTTTGAGATTACGTTTCCATATGATGCGAAGAGGTTCGTTAACAATTTCTTTATCATATATCGCATGCAGTAGTACAGTTTCTTGGAAAGGAATTGACTATTTGCTTTTATTCTTTCAAGGAATTGACTTTGTACATCAAATGAAAAAGAGAATTGTGTCTGTTTCCACGAGACGCGCCATATTAAAAAGAAATGCTATTATAATGAAAATTTAATAGAGAATCGTGTCTGTTTCAACCTCATGAAGTCTTTTAAGTGTTTTTTGTTTTTATTTTTTCTATTTTTTTATTTCTCTGTACATATAAAGATTTGTCTTTACATTTCAGGGGAAAAAAATGATTGTTGCCTTATGAACCTTAAGAAAGTAACGCTTGTCATAATTTGAGTAAATGTTTCAATCTTAATGGTAATACTATATATTGAACAATTCTTGCGCTAATTGGCAATAAATTTTCAATATTTAGGTTTAATTACTGCTATAATCGTTTCTCTAAATTATTTTGTATTGCTCCATTCTTATTTCGGGAACTCATCTGGATTTTGCATAACTTCACGAGGATTGAATAGCATGTGGTCTAACACTTAGCTTAACTTTTCCTTCAAACAGTCAGAATGGGAAGTTCAGCTATGGATATGCAAGCTCTCCTGGTAAAAGGTCTTCAATGGAGGATTTCTACGAGACAAGGATTGACGGTGTAGATGGAGAAGTAGTTGGTCTCTTTGGGGTCTTTGATGGTAAGCCTCTCAAGCACCTCTACCCTGCCCCCGCCCCCGCCCCTGCCTGACACCATACAACGATTAAGTCTCAAGTTGCATTCTTTACTCCAAAGTACCTCATATCTAACATTATACCTTCTTTCATACTTTCAGGCCATGGGGGTGCTCGGGCCGCTGAATATGTTAAACAAAACCTTTTCAGTAATCTGATCAGGCACCCAAAATTCATTTCTGACACTAAATCAGCTATAGGTAGGCCTTTTACGAAGTCTGTACGATTGCACTCTTCACTTTCTACCATCTGCTTATGAACTTGCTTCTTTTCTGTTTTTCCTACTTTGGTCCCTTGACAGCTGATGCATACAGCCATACCGACTCGGAATTTCTGAAATCAGAGAACACTCAGAATCGAGATGCTGGATCAACTGCTTCCACTGCTATCCTTGTTGGGGACCGTTTGTTGGTTGCAAATGTCGGGGACTCCCGAGCTGTTATATGCAGGGGTGGTAATGGTGAGACTCAGAAACTTTGTTTGTGTTCTTGAGCTTCAGTCTAGACCAATAATAAGGCACTACAGTCTAAACTTCAATGAAGTACCCAGCGTCATTTATTAACTGCGAACCCGCTAGTGCATTCGTAATGCATTGAATAGGTATACACTTGTGTGACCCCTCATTGTGAAGGGGACAGTAATTAGGGTCTCCCAATGGTCTTGATTTTAATAGTATTCTCATGGGGATTGCTTTTGCCTGGATTTAAACTTCTTTTTCTGAATAATGATGTGAAAATCTATTTATGGGATGTAAGAAATCTGATTCTGCTGAGTTTAATAATAAACCAATTATGCCCCTGTTTGACATCCATTAAAATGAGTTTTTTTGGAAAAATGAGTTATGGAATAGTTATTTTATGGAGAATGTGTAGTTAAAAAGTAAGAAAAGTTTTGGGTTTACATGTAAAATATTTTTGTTGTGTGAAAACGAGTGAGAAAAAACGAGTTCTGATTTAATGGATGTCAAGCTGACTATGAAGCCCTTGGAATTGACTGCAAACGAAGACTATTGGGGAGAGTATGAGTACTAATGCAAATAGGAA